AAAAAAAAAAGAAAAAAAAAATAATGTAAGTTCCAATGAGCCCATTCATATGAAGAAATTTAGTGAACATTTTTTGGGGCTCGTAAGCCCAATGGACTAGGCAAAATTTCAAAAATGATTGGACTCGTTGTCAACAAAAGAGATATTTTGTTGTCCTTCAAAGAAAAGAAACATGTAATTGACATTTTGGTCGGCAAAGATATAGTAATCATTCCACTAGGATAAAAAAGCTGCTGACGTGGCATGATTAAGTAATGACGTAGAATTATAACTTTTTTTAATTTCCTACGTGTTATTTATGTGGCGTGATGTGAATCCATCTTTCCAAGTACACAACTACACATAGATAAAAAAAATAAAAAATTCAAAAATTTATAAATAAATATAGAGATAAAACACACCACGAAATAATAATAATAATAATAATAATAATAATAATAATAATAATAATAATAATAATAATAATAATAATAATAATAATAATAATAATAATATAATCCAAATATGCAAAATAATAAAAATATATTTCGTTTAATATATATTAATACAGTATAAAACAAATCACTATATTTTGTTACTATATATCAAAAAATTATTAAAAAATAAAATAATATTTCATCAATATTTTGTCAAAATATAAATATATTTCGTCAATATATATTAAAAAGTATTGTATTAATATTTCGTTAATAATAATAATTATATATAATTTATTATATCATCTAATATAATACTTTAAATAATATTTTATTTATTTAATATATATAAATATATTAAATATGTATATGAATCATAAAATACAAATTTATATTTAAAAAGTACATTTTAATGTATTTAGAGAATATATATTTAAAAAGAGATATTATATTAAAAAAATTAAAATATAAATATATATTTTAATATTTATAAATAATATAGTATTTTTATTTTTAATATTTTATTAATATATATTAACAAAATATATTTATTTTTAACGAAATATTATTTTTTCTCTTTTTGAATATTTTTAATATATATTGACGAACTATATCAACTTTTTTTAATAAATTTTTAATATATATTTAATGAAATATATATTTTTTCTTATTTTTATTTCATTTTTTATTTTCTATTTTTATTTTATTTTTTATATCTTTTTAATATAAAATAAAAAAATATTTTTTTTTCTTTTTTTAATAATTTATGAATATATATTAACAATTTATATCGAAATTTTTTAATACTTTTTTAATATGTATTTAACGAAATATATATATTTTATTACTTTTTATTGTTTCTTATTATTATTTTATTTTATTTTTTGCTTATGTGTCGTCATAATTTATTTATTAATCTATTTTTGGATTGTTTTTTACTTTTTTTATTATTTTATTATTTATTTATTTTTTTATCTATATTTAGTGGTCTACTTAAAAAGAAGGGTGTCACATCACGCCATGTAAATGACACGTAGGAAACTGAAAAAAGTTATAATTCCACGTCATTACTTGATTATGTCACGTCGGCTTTTTTTTTTTAATCCTGGTGAGGTGATTATTGTATCTTTTCTGATAAAAATGCCAACTACATGTTTCTTCTCCGTAAAGGACAACAAAATGTCTCTTTTGTTGACCAAGCTCAACTTGGTGTATCATTTTTTAAATTTTGCTCAATGGACTGGCCTATAACTAAGGAGTCAGAAGATACTGCAATGTGAATAAAAAAAAATCAAGAAAAAAATATAAAATTGCAAAACAAATCCTTACCTATATTTAAATTTCACTTTAAGTCCAATATTCTTCCAATTTAGCTAAGACTTTTTAATTTTTCGCAAATTTAGATGTGAATATAGGCTCAATCGCTCATAAATAATGTGTGTGACTATATTTTCTGATAATAAAGCACTTATTAAACTCATGTATTACATCCTATATCAACTCAACGACCACGAATGACACCAAGTAATGGGTTTATTGGTAGCTGCAAGTTTTGTTCATTGGACACCTTGATATTCAGTAGTATTGAAGCAAAAGCCAATTTTATTGAACAAGTACTTAAAAAGGGCAAGGAGTATGTTGATGGGTAATTTGCGGTTGTAGGAATCGAGCAACCTTATTATTGTTTTTTCGTCTAACGTCATTTCTTGAATTTTTACAGTTCTTCTTTCATGTTGATTTGTCGCGTTTCATGCATTATCATATCGTGTTCTTGCTCGATTAGTGCCAGTCCTTTACTTTCTTTTGATTTCCATGTTACAAGCCCGAAATATAATGCTCCTTTATTGACATGACCTGTTAGGGAGGATATGTTTCACTAGCAGGCAATGATAATGGGTCCACAGGATAGTCCTTATACAAGTGAAGTTTTTTTTTTGGGTCTCTATTCGTTTTCCTCGGATTACCCATTTATATCAGTAAAGGAGTTGCACTCGGTAAATTGTTTTTTCTCGATTGGTTTGATTTGTTACATCAGTTTTCCATACTAGCATATATGCCCATGCATGTGTTCTTGATTTTTTGCGGTCGGTCCATGTTGCATGATTTGTTTAGTTTTGTTCGATTTTAATCTAATTTTCTCCAAGTAGTTCCACTAAATGTTAGCTACTGTCCTTATGGATATTAATTTTTATGTGAAGTTCACTGAGTCGGAATCTTTGGAGTATCGTTTGGGTTGATGGATATGATGTTTAGGAAAATTTAAAGCAATGACTTACATTTCGTTAACTAATCTCTCTTGTTATTGGGAGTTGTAATTTTGTACAGTTAATATTTACCTTGTTCTATATATATACTGCACAACGAGTTAATATTTACCTTGTTCTTAGGCCAAACATATTCTTCTGTTTCTGATTCATGTGAGAACTAATCTTGAACTGTAAAAAAAGGAAGTGTGGATTCGTGCATTTTTCTTCGTTGTTGATTACTTGCCGGTTGCATTCAGGGCCAAGATTTCTTGATTTCTTGATATCTTAAAGGAGCAATGGAGCCCTGCCCTGACAATATCCAAGGTTCTTTTTCTTTCTTACTTTTTACTATTTTCGGCTTAGGCACAAATTCGCTACGTTCGATAACGTGTTTGAAACTACTTTATGACTGTCTGAAAATATCTTAGAAACTGCATGATACTTTATGATATAAGTAGGTTTGTTGAGACCTTTCATTTGTTACCTTTTGCTCAATCTAATCTGAAATGGCTATTTGAATGCTTGAATATTTTCGATATGTGCTCTTGCAAATCTACGATCAGTTGCTTTAGTTGATTACAAAAAAATCGTCCGTGATCCGTTGCCAAATTGGAAAACGACCCCAGTTTCTACCACTTTACAAGTCACAAGAGCGCTGTATTTCTTACATAACAACCTTAACTGCTATGAGCCTATGTTGTAACACCTGAAGGTTAAGGGGGTGGTTATGTAGTTTCCGATGATAAGCAGGAGCCTTGCGTAATTTTGCTAGATACCAAGGGTAGTTTTTGAAATATTCTCGTACGATGAGCTAGTTCTGTGTAGAGACATAAAATTTGTGTTCAATCAAATGGCGCCACGTGGAAATTAATTTATTAAAAATCAAGTTATATTTTCTATTTATATTTTAGGAATTTCCATAAATTTAATTCCTAAATTTAAATAGTTAATTAATTGATATTTAAATATTTTAATTCTTGACCAATCAAATAATGCCAAGTGTCAAATCTTATTCTTGGT